GAGGAAACAAGCCACGTCTAGAACATTCCTCCTGGGGAGGCTGTCTTGAGGCCCCCTGGCCTGGAACGATTCTTCCAAGCACTAGGCAAACAGTAACCTTCTGACAATGAAATTCCAGATTCTAAAAACTTGTTTTCTAAGAATTAATGCTAGAAAGACCTTTCTGAACTGCATCATTGTATTGTATTGTATTGCATCACTGTATTAAATTGTATCATTAAACAGGAAGGCTGGGAAATGGCTGGAAGGTAGATATGAGGTGAGTTTGGGGTTCAGATGTGTGCCCCTCGACAGGTCACCCTCTTTACACCTGTCTTCTTCACTGGTACAGTGAACAGACAGCATCCTCTCTGAACTATGGGAATTAAAATAAGATCCACCCAAATAATCTGCTTAGTTCCTGGAATACAACAGTGCACAATCACTTCTGGAGCTAAATTCCATGGAATAAACCTTTTGGCTAACTGAAAATACTCGAATGGACCCATTCTAGTTTCACCAAGAATCGGCGGTCAGGGCCAAGCGCATCTCCTGAGACAGGTTCTCGAAGGTTCGTGCTGGTGGTGGTGGGTGTGGGTGCCCTGTAAGTGCTGGCGTTCACGAAGCCCAAACTCAAGGCCCTTGGGAGGCCCACGGGATGCGAGTCTCAACTCCACATTCGCCCCAGTGCCCCGGGCGTTTCAAAGCTCCTTTGAACGCCATTTTTCAGCCGTAACTGGGGGACGAGGTCAGACAGGAGCCAGCAACACTTGAAGCCCGCGAGTGGCCTGAGGGCTCCTCTCTCAGCTCTCCAGCCAGTGCGCCAGGCTCAAGTTCACAGCTCCGGGGCTCCGGGCGTCGGAGGCCCCAAAGCGGGGTGGCCCCACAGCACCCCGGCCCACTGTCCGCACACAGGCGACCCGCGTGCAGAGACTCGTGAGCCGGGCTGGGGTACACGCGGCTCTGTCACCGGCTCTAGGGGCCTCGGGGACAGGCATCCCGGACCAGGTCAACCCAGGACGCTGGGGAGGCCTAGCCAGGCCCCTGCCTCAAACGCCGCCGGACGCTCGTACCTTGCTCCCTCAGGAAAATGGATCTCGTTTGCACCAGACAGGCTGAATTATCCCCCAACTGCATGACTCGGTCACCTCTCCGGCTCGGCTTGGGGCACAAGTCCATAAGGCAGTTGCCGACGAGTCCCTCAGCGGAAGGGTCCAGTGAAGGAAACGGCCAGCTGGTGGGATGCGCGGCCGGTGCTGTTGGCGCAGGTGGACTGAATCAGCAGCTGGGCGGCTGCACGCAGCCGGCGCCAGGATGCACAAGGTCAGATCCCAACTCCAGGTTCCCGCGGCCGGGCCGCAGACCGCATGCGCAGTAGGCGCGGGACCCGTCTGCGCATGCCCAGCCCAGCGCAACGCATGCAGGTGACATCAGACCTACTGGGTCTACCCACTAATACCGGCATCTGCACGGGACTATGGTGATGGCACATGGGTAAACTGGTGGTGGGAAGCCCACAGGGGTTACAACCGAGATGAAAAAGATTTACAAAATGAAGCGTGATATTAAATACATATATAAAGTGGAATATAAAATAAAGAATGAATAAACACATAAATATCCGCATCTTACTCCTTTCCAGGGCTTAGGTGACATCCTCCCTTCTCAAACTCGCGCATGAATCTCTAACAGAGCTTTGCTGGTTCAGCTCCATCTAGGGTGCTCTAGTGAATTCTTTCCCTAGAGGGCCAAGGACCCACTCTTCAGTGTCGAGTACAATTTTGTGTTTAAATAACATCTCATCACCTGTAAAAGGTATCACACGGGGTTAACTTGTCCGTCCCCCCCCTTCCTTCACAGATGACTATTGAAAAATAGAATATAGGGTCTCCCCCGTAGCCTAGGGGTTGTTTCAGCACTATCACCCAGACGGCTCCATCACCTGCCAGGCTGCTAGCCCACATGGGGCAGTGTATTTCAGTAGATCTACCTGTTCTGCTCCTCACTGCCTCTGGTGAATCCTCTCACTCCCCCTGCCCACCACCACTGGCCTATACCCCAGTTCTTCTACACATACTTTAAATCTTACAATAAAGGGACAATTCTTTAAAAAAAATTTTAAAGCAACATACAGTGTCTATGTGAGGCCGACACTTAATCTATCAGATACACTTTCTGTACATTATCTATTTTTCCTGAAGTGTAGAGCACTGGGAACCATTTTACGGAAAGCAAAATATGAAGCTCACAGCTAATAACTTGTCCAAGACCACACAGCTATTAATGACAAGACAGATAAATCCAAACCAAAAACCCAAACTGACCAGTAGTCAGCATAAACCAGGAATTTAGATTTCTCAGATCTAAAACCACGCCATGGTGGCGTTTACAAAACCAAGCACAAAGTTCACAGAGATTGAGCAAAAAGAATCAGGAAAAAGGGGAAGAACTGTACTAAAAAGTTCCTGTCTACAGCTCACCAGACCATCTAAGTCAGTTTGTTTCTATTTCTGTTGGCAGCATTCTACACTCTTAATGCTACCTGCACCTAACAGGCTCCCCGGAACTTTAAAAGACACTTCTCTTCTTAAGGCACTTAATTATTCTCTTAGATTTCACTCAAGATTGCAAGCTCAGAAAAGCAGCAAATGCATCAGCCTCATGGACAATCTCTGTGTAGAAACGCCAATACCAGTGAGCTGAAAGGGGCCAGCCACATAGCTCTCCACATCTTCAGGAAAGTTCATTTACTTCTGTGTTTTCTCACGTTCGAGAACATGACACCCTTATAAAAGCCGTCAGCACAATGGCCAACTGCCTCCGTTCTTGTCCCCTAGGGGCACCAAACTCCTTCCCACTTGTGCCAGCCGATCTGATCTTCATGGACGCAGCCCCCACCCAACACCGGGCCACACTTTCTCTTCTCTGACTCCTGCTGTCAGAAAGGCCGAGGGCCGCTGGTGGCCGGCTTCCAGCTGGGTCTGTTCATGAGGCAGCAGATCCAGGGGTGGGCATTTCTGGCTGCCCCCTGTCTTGGCATCACAGCTCAAGCAAGAGCTGTCTCCGGGGCACTCCCGGCTCCGGCTAGGCAGACCTGCCTTCACCTCTACTCCCTCGACATCTAGAAACTCTTTCCCTCTTCCTCTCCAGGCAATAATGGCTGTGACTGCGGGCTCTCATTGTTCTCAGCAGCAATGGGGTGAGGGATGATAGCCCCACAGGGGACACAATCTTGGAGCAGAATCAGATGACAGGATGAGCAGGCCCAGCTTGTGTCCAACCCAGGAGGCAGCTGACTTTTCTTGTTTCATTAAGACCCTTATCAAGCATTAATAACAACTTATTGTGACCCACGACTGCCTGCAGCCACCGGAGTCCTGTACACCGTGGAAGAAAGTGAACTCAAGGAACATTCATGTGATCAAATTGGAATCTGTTATGGATCACAATGTATTAGCAAAATCAATCAGTTAACTGAAAGTAAATTCATTCCACAATAAGTTCTTCCAATAATCCCTTGACAAGAATTAACCCTGATCCACGCCCCACGTGACGACATAGAACACTTTAGCTCTAAGTTCACATATTCAGCTGAACATCTTTTCACAAACAATTTGATTCCATTTTCCAGACAGTCATAGGGAGAACTCCTGGAGCGCAGATTTCAAAAATTACACTTGAATTACTTTTAATCTTTATTAAAAAATAAAAGAAATCCAGTAGCACAACATATATATAACAATACAACGTTTTCAATGGCTTTCCTATTCCTACTAAAGTTTCATGTGGGAAATGTCTCCATCTGTGCTTACACGCTGAAGGCTCACGCCTGACCACAAGCACAGTGTCGGCAGCTTTACTGCACCAAGATTCACGTAGCACTGCATATATTTGCTTAGTTCACACCTCCGTGCCATAAAGTGCTATTCTCAGGTGGGAGAGGAACCAAACCCTCAAATTCTCCATGATCGTTTCCGCTTGGGTCAAGGTAGAAAAGTCAACTTAGCACACAACCAGCCTGAATAACACATTTCCAGTGAAAGAAATTAATAGCAAAACAAACAAACAAACAAAAAAAAAACAGACTCGAGGGTTTTGGTGAATCTATTAAAGTATGTCAAAAACATTTCAAAACGATTAGCGCCAAAATGTGCTAACAGTCTAGTTCCTGAACATTTCAACTTTTTAAAATATTAGCAGCTTAAGTGAAACATGTTTCATAAATACAAAATTTAGATAAAATGCTTTTTTTAGTTAAAAGAACTTTTCACTTTTAAAGGAAACACAGTCATTAATTAAGATGTGTTGCTATTCCTAGACAATTTAATTTGTATTTTTACCTGCTTATATGCAAATGCTTATTACCAAAGAGTGACTGATAGAAAATGCCAGACAGCTGACTAGTTGCTCACATTTTACAATATATTTAATGACATTAAAAATATATCATGACCTTTTCTATCACATAGACATAAACCAGGACAGAATTTGTGCCAAGCAATGGAAACCACAAGACACAAAAACAGGGCAAAAGGATGAAAGTGGGCAAATACCAGCGTACCTTCAGTAGTATCTGTGGAAAGTAAGTATTGGATGAAGACAGATTTCCCTGAAAAAATTCACACGAAGTGAAGAGCTTCATGTGTTAACTGAGGGCTTTGTGGCTCCTGCCAGAAATGGCTTCACTACACATGCAGGTGGGGGCATCACAGTGAAGGGACCCTCACAAGTGTCCTTCACAACACAATGTGTGACTTTCAAAGACAAACAGCAGTATCCATGTTCCAGGCAATATACTCTTAATATCTGTTATACAGCTCAAAATACATAATTCTCCATTTAAATATACTACCATTCTACAGTCTGCTTCTTTTTACCTATCTAGACAAATGCAACACACAACACTTAATTACGTTTTCGTATCCATAAGGCAGTTTTAAAAACATCATCTTAGGACATAAACATGATATTAAAAAAATGAAAAACCAAACATAAAGCATAATAAATATTTGTGTATCCCTCTCCCGCCTCCCCCCCCCCAAAAAAAAAAAAGTGTGAGCATCAGCAACACCGCTCACAGAAATAAATAAGCTGTGCTGTTCATAAAAGAGAAAGGCCATCTAGACGCAACTTCGCCAGATCCCAGTTAACCGGGAAAGAGCGTCTTTGCACCTGCCGCTTGGGGAAGGCCAGGCTGTTCGGGTTTTCTGTGTTTTCAGAAGAAAAACACACAACAAACAAGCGTGGGGACAGATACGTAGATGATATGTAATTAGTTACGAAGGTGAACCCCAAAGCATCTCGCTGACCCTTCCAGCCCCGGTCACATCAGATGCTCACCCTACGCAGCCTCCCGGTACTCGAGGTACTTGGCAGTGATGGGCTCCTCCAGCTGAACCCCGCCACTGCCCATGAGCGCAAACGCCGGGTACATGACGTGCGAGCAGTCCACCGGGCGCTCGTACAGGCATCGCATGTGGTCCATGTCGTAGAAAGCCACCTTGCCCTTCTCGCAGTCCAGGAGGATGCCGATGCTGCCGGGCATGGGCAGGACTCTGTTTTCAGGCTCGTTAGATGAAGTCGCTGACTTGGGTATGAAAAACTTCTTCATGCCGATGGTGACTAACGTGAAGGGCTGCGAAGAGTCGAAGCAGGTGTCTTCGCTGCCGCTGTCGTGGCCGCTGTCCTGCTCGTACCTGAGACACGACACAGAGGCTCACCTGCACCACACCTTCACAACACACGTGGACTGAAAACTACACCTCCAGTTTCACAGCGAAAGCTTCCTGCTCACACCAACCCCAGGATGACACAGGAGCCACTTAGGATGGCATCTCAGAAGCAGCCCCGTTCTCTCATCAAGTGTCATCATCCACTTTTACTTGGACACGTACACAGGTGGGAGATTAAGCATCATCACTTGGGCTTACCAAACTCCCAGGGGCTGGCAGAGACCTGGACACCCCAGCCCGTGGGCTTACTGGTGAAGTAGCACCAATGAGATCTGCGTGGTGACGCAGTCCTCCGAATACCTGTCTTTCCTGGGTGCGGTTTCTCTCTGGAGCTATGAGGTGAGCAACTGTCATGGAGATGTTTTCCCTTTCTGCTCTAAACTAGCAGCATGTTACCCAAAAAAAAAAAGTGTTTTGCTTTTTTATGTATCTTTATGTACCATACGCTCCATCAACCATTTTAATTAGGTTTTTCTACTTCTAATGTTTCTCATACTATAAACTTCAGTATTTACTCAGACTATCTCTCAATTATGCCTATTTCCCTATTCCACTATTCTAATAGGTGCTGAGCCTTCAATTTCTCACATCTGTGAAAAAGTTTTTCCTGTCACTTAGAAGTTTACCTCGGCATTTCTTTTCACAGACGTGGACAGAGATGATTAAGTGAGCTAATTCACCTTGTACCATACCAAATGAATAAAATTGAAAAATCTCCAATAAATGGTCAGTCTCTCTTTATTTTTTTAAAGATTTATTTATTTATACATATAGAACTGGGGTACAAGACAGAGGTGCAGGGGCGGTGACAGGATTCACCAGAGACAGAGTGGGGAGCACAACAGGCAGACTGACAAAGTATACTGCTGAGGGGAGCAGCGGGGAGCGGGAGACAGGAGAGGTCTGCTGCGCCACGTGGGTCATCTCCCAGGCAGAGATCGAACTCGTGCTGAAATGGCTTTAGCTGCTTAGTGCTGTGCTTTAACCTGCTGCACCACCAAGGAGGGCCCAAATGGTCAGTCTCCTAATGAATTCAATTTCTCTGCTGTGGAAACATGCTTACCCTATCCCAAACTAGTAGCGTTTGGGGGGGCATTTAAAGAAACTGTGACGTCTAAGGGCCCTCCCTGCGGTACATTAAAGCACAGCATTATAAAGCTGTCTGCAGCCACTGCAGCATGAGTTCAATCTCTGGCCAGGGAGGTGACCCACATGGTGTGGCAGACCTCTCCTGACCCACAAGCTGTTCCCCTCAGCAGTGTATTTCAGTTGAACTGCCTGTTCTGCTCCCCATTGTCTGTGATGAGTCTTCTCAGCCCCCCCCCACACCTCTGGCCTGTACCCCAGTTCTTATATGCATAAATCTTTAAAAAAAAAAAACAACTGTGATCCATAAGAAAAGAGAAATTTACTAACAACTGTGGCATGCCAATTCAATATGCAGGTGTTTTTGCCACATAATTAAGGTCATGGATGTGAAAAGACTTTCAGGTTTCCAACTGCGAAGGCACATCATCATCAAGAGGAATCGGAAACAGACATACTCCTCCTGGCATCAGAACTGACTGCCAAGTCTCACCATTTACGTGTGAATGTCTAGGTGGAATAACTTTAACTTAAGAATGCCTATTCTGTGGCACATCTTCAAACTAGCAACAACAAATGTTGGCGAGGATGTGGAGAAAAAGGAACTCTCCTGCACTGCTGGTGGGAATGCAAACTAGTACAACCACTATGG